TGGCACATACTTTATTTGGATTTATCATAAAATCAAACATAATAATATAAAATACAGCTAATACATTTAGTAACATATCTGGAGCATAGATGATGTGGACTAGAACTTCTCCGATATAGTCTTTTGAAAGTTTTATTTTCTGTTAGCATCTCAAATAAATGTTTCCACTGTGGGAAACGCATAAAAGTCTTATAGTTTAGTTTAAAACAGGTCCTCTTCGCTACGATCGTGGGCCAATAAAAAAAACTGGAAATACCTACCTATTCGACCTTCCATCCCTTAGGAAGGCATTGCGGAATATTCCGGGAGTGTTATAGACCGTCTGCGGTAGACGTGGCCCGCTCAGAATCTCACGAACAGCGAGAACTATGTTCTAGAAGCGTCCGGAATTCGAAGCAGGTGTGCACCCCGCGACCACCGCAAACACTTGTATTTTGCTCGTCTTCAGCCGAATCTCGCACCGGTGACCGCGCCAACCGGCAACGCTGCTAAATGTCACCATCGGCGTTGCCACATTTAGATAATTATTAATAATATAATTGGATTGCTTCGAGTGTCGGATTTGGGGGTAAATTCTATTGTTGTGATGGAATTTTTGGCATTCACCGTTACCGTTAGATATTGACCCATGTATATATGAATTTTGTTTATACAGGGTGAGATTTATTGGGAAATCGCGTACGTTAGGGGTAGTGTAAGGACTATCTGATATTCTTCTTTCACTTATCTAATCTAATTTATAAAATAGACGTCAGTACGTGTAATATCAAGGATTAGCGAATATTGTACGGTTATTATAGAATATTATAGGCTTGAAAATGGCTCTATATTGTCGAAACCGGTTGCCAGAATAGGTTATTATTTGTCTTATTAAAGATAACCATGTCTAAGAGGTTGAATTCCCTTCTGAATTAAATTATTTGATGTTTGAGATTTCATGGCACACATGATTTTATTAAAATAATTAGTGAATGCTTAGTGTTATCAGTGTTAAGAATCAGATTTATCAAATAAGGAAACTTATCTCCTTTCTAATTAATCAATAGTTCAGAAAGATATTTTTTGTAAACAGTCTTACAAAAATAATTATTCTATAAAATAACTTAATGACGCCTAATCACCTAACCTAATTATTATTTATGCTGGCCGGCCGCGAATTTCGCCCTAATCTACACTAAAACTCTATTAGGATTGACCAATCCCATATAGTATGTACGTTTCACTGTGTTACGTCATATCTGCATTATGTAAACTATACAATGTGTGTACAATTTATGTACTAATTGTGTAGGATCCAGCGATGCTGAGCCGAAGAAAAAACGTTTTTTGCTTTTCGGTGATCAACCTAATTTTAGTATCCGAGATCTATATGTGATACCTTTTATTTCAGCTTACTGACCTAATTTTAATTTGTGTACTTTTTGGGACACAATGTGTACTAGGGGACAACAATTTTTCAGTAGTTTACCTCTACATTACACTATAATAGTAATGTGTCAATGATCAGTTATGTTTAAGTTTTGTATGTATATTTATTTTTTTAAATATCCTGTATATAAAGGATCAATAAAAAATTGTTTTAAATTTGTGATACTTGTATTTTTCGTATATATTATGTGTGCTATTAGAAATGCTCTAAAAAATATTGTGCCATCACCGCCCACAATTGCTTGTAATGTAACGTGGTCGTTAATAGCAAATATACCTATGTATTGTTATATTAAAGATTTTTATTATCTTGTCACATTTATTTAGAAATAGGTACCTCAATCAAACGGTTCATATAAAAAAAAGCGTTTATTACATGATATTCACTATTGCTATTCTTATTTTACACGAAATATAAGCCAGAGCAGTTTATAATCGTATTTTTTAAATTCGCGCGTTCAATGGTCCGGCAACTACGTCATTTTCCCTAATACTTTCGATGCATTGAACAATCCTTTAAAGAGTCAAGTATCCTTGGTCTATATCTAGTTGTCGCCGTTGATAGTACTCGTAGAACTCACAAATTGTTATTAGAAAGAATTTGGAGAGGACATAATAAATAACACTCATAGTATGCGTAGAGACGATAGGAAAAATTATAAAATAAACAAATAAATATTTCTGAATAAGATTGTATTCTATGGTAATTCTGGTCTTTAAGAGAGACGAGCAGCCATGCGGCCTTAAATATAAACCGCCGTGAGTTTAATAGCTATTATAGCAGTAGAAAAGGTTACTTTCTAAGTTTGTAATGGAAGAAATAAGATACGTTGCTTTAAATACTGATTATTTATTATCCTTTGACAATTAAATATTATTCTATGTCATTATTCCATTCAGAATTAACTATTTATATTTACGGGAACTTTTTGACTATAATTTTTCTAAAAACTTTATGGTATGCAGAATTTTATTCACAATGGAGAACTATTCTAGGGAGGGTTCGTTTAGCCATAGAAAAAAAAAATATGATGAGAAAATATTAATTAAAATTTGGAATACTTGAAGCTTTCCAATTTATTGCAATAGAATTATAATCCCAAATTAGACAGCCATTTCCAGACCCGATTTTTAATTTTGATTATAAGGCTGGGAGAAGAAAAGGCGTCAATAAGCCTATAGGGATTTATTTAAGCAAATAAAATGAAGAGTGCATCTGAAATTCTTTAATAAACGACTTGGAAAGGTTTCTTTTATTAAATTCTGACTGGGCGTTAATTATTTTTGGATTGGCGACAGGTTCGACATTCGAAAATATTACCATTTAGTCAAGGGCAAATACTAATAGTAATCTCGTTTATGTAGGATATTCTCTTTTTCAAGAATAATGGTTTAGTGATCAACAAATATTTCCAGAACAACAAATGACGTAAATTATTATTAGTTACTGGATCACACATTACTTACTGAAAATCATGTGTTAGACACATCAGATTTTTAATATTAAGAGACGGGACAAAGTAGGCAAAGCTAGTATCTAGGTTTGACTTGGAAGCATCAGTGTATATAACTGAATATAATAACAGAACTTATAAGCATTTAAATGGTAGTGTACTAAATCTAATAATAATAATAACGATAGTATGTAAAACGAATTCAAGACGTCTATTTCTTTTTTGGCAAATAAATATATTTTGTTTTTGAAAATCTCATGAATTATGAAAATGGTCTCCCATGACCATTTTCCTGGAGCTGCTTTTGGTAAGTTGAAGTTTTCTATATATTTCTGAGAATTAGGCTACAATTTTGTGCCTGTATTTTTTTATAAAGCAATATACCTACGTATAATTTAGCCTTTTCGGTTCTTATAACTATTTTAATTTCTTTAAAAAAAAATTGGTTAAAGGCCTATAGTTAAAGTAGGTATCTTGTTAAGAATTTAATTTAAAAATAGTCAATTTAAAACTGGACAATATAAAAATCTGGACATAGGATGAAGTTTGGCCCGTGGATGCTTCTATTCAGAAAATTTGAAATTTTAACACTACTTTTTCTCCATAAGTGCGAAATACTTTGCCGGGGGAGAGGGGCGCAAAGGAGGCACTCCACCTCCCTCATTGACAGCGCCCTTTGCATGTAGTAAATATGAAAAATATACATTGTGGTTCGAAAGTTTTGAATAATTGAAGTAATGAGCAAAATGGATAAATCCCAGATAGCACAGGATGTCCTAAGGACGTCCATTACATGTCCGGGCGTTTTCAGTATGTCCAGTTTAGTAAATCCTCGACACGTCAAGAAATAGATATCCGTAGAACGTCACTTCTACGTGCTTTATTATATTTCCATGGATTCACATTCGCATTGTATTATTATTTGGTTATATTATATAAACAACATATATAATGAGATAATATAAATAATTATTAAAGATGACATTGTCCCAATATCCAATTGAATGAAAGCCAAATAGACAAAAAACGAAGAAGGTCATTGCAAGAAAGGGACATTGATGACAAGTGACATTTTATTATTATTTTTTTTAGATTCAAGCACTGAAATATTCTCAAGGCTCAGGTGTTATAAAACAAAAAGAAAAACATGGTGTTTAGTGTTCATGATTCGATGGTATGTACATATTATACGAGTACAAGTTCTATCATTCCGCCATTTGACTGTGATTCGACTCTGTGAGTTTGTGGTTGATTATAATGTTTAGCAGGCAAACTTAAAAAACACATTGTATTTTCATATTGATTTGCCTTTCATTTTGAATAAGCGATTAAATTATTTTCAGGTTCAGCTGAGAAGGCAAATATGGCCAAATCAAGAAAAAACTTAACTGCTGTCAATCCAGGCATAGTTAAAAAGGGCAAAGTAGAGAAATTTGACAAAAAGTTTTAATAATTTTATTATTCATAGATTATTTGCTTCCAAATAATTTTTTCGAGATTATTCATTATTTTCACTAATTTTCCTTAAACATCCTGTTATTCCCCCATTTAAGCTTTTGAAAATGTCCATGGAATGTTCTTAAATGGACGTTCTTAAGACATCCTGATTATTAACAATGGACGTTCCAAAGACGTCCACGTCCGTGAACTGGACGTTGTAAGGATGTCTTTAATGTCCAAGCGGGACGTTTTTATAACGTCCAAAGATATATTTGTGCTATCTGAGATCACTCTGTATTGTAATAATAGGGAAACAAATACCCATTAAATACAGGTTAATAAAACTACTACGGTATCATCTATCTATTCCTATAACATATGCGCATTTAATAATGAATCATTCTGTATAATCTGTGAAGTCCTTTGAAGCACCCAAAGATTATTTTCTTTACTTTAGATAGGTAGGTATGTTAACCTCAATTTACATGACTACGCTAACCGCTTGTCAATAATATTGATGTCCAAATTCAAACAATTTAACCTATTTTGATGGACTAAACTTCAAAACATACAAACCAAACTCTAAACTTATCAAATAATCAAACAACGTACATACACACTTTTGATAATCTTACAGCAACACTACCAGAACCAATTTTGACAAGCACGACAACTTCCCCTCTAACCACGCCCCGCGCAATCGCTATCCGGTGGAGGGGCGGAGCCTCATCGCTGTCAGAGAGCTTTAGAGGCGTGGTCTATTGACTGGCCGGTGATCTGTCACTAACAGAGAAAGTAGACAGTATCGAGCTTTACGCAGACTAAAAAGCTCGTGGTATGTGCATGTGCGTAGTTGACAACGTGTGTACGTGCGAACGCGACTTTTCCCATTTCGTGTGACAGTTTTTTAAAGTTTGAAACGAGAATTTTTTTTAGTGAATCAAAATGTTGGAGTTTTATCCTAATTTGAACTTGAATCCAGCCATGTTGCCGGAGCGGAATGGGTTGATTGGAACGGATTGTATTGGACGAACAGGTTGGTTCTAGATATGTATTACCAACTGTATTACTTCTAGGCGTAATTACACTTACAATTACTTAATTTGTTTACACTTTTAATTTGAAAGGCAAATTCTATAGGTGATTAGATTTTTAAATGATAACAAATTCATTTATTATTAATAACAGAACTAAAAATATTTTGGACGTGCAGCGTGCAGTAAAATAAATAGACATATTTATAACAATAACTGTAATTAAATAAGTATATAGGTCGAACTAGGTAGCTAGTTACAGTTGGATTTAAAGAACATCTAGCAACTGTCAGGAATCAGCAACAAAACTATTAAAACCACATGTATCCATCATTAAAAAATTGTATAATTCTATAATAACTGGAGAGTTGAAATAAGAATCAAATTTCACCCACAATTATATATATTTTTTAACGATTTTTCAAAAACTAAGAACTACGAACTGGTACTAAAAGTTTTTTCACCTCACCGCTGCTTACTTTACTAAACAAAAGTTAGGTTAGTAGGTAATATTTCTTCTCCTTGCACAATTTCTTTGGTCAAAGCTGTTGAGGCTACCCGGTAAGGCACTTTAGGAGAATATCGTAAATTTATAAGCAAGGATAGATAACACACCTCCATATTATGTTGTCTTTTTATAAAAAATCATCAAATTCGAGCCACATAAAAATACATAACTATCTTGGTAAGATACCATCCACATTGGTAATAATATTTTTTTAAAGTGCCTAGCTAGGTTACAAGTAGTTATAATGAATATTGAAGAGTATCAATTTGAGGAAGATATACATTATATTACTAGCTGAGCTGAGGGGAAACGATTGGGAGTCAAAATAATATTGGCTGTAAAATATATGGATTAGTGGAAAGTATATAAGACCATGTAAAGACTAACTGTAGGAAACACATTATTGTCAAAATTATAGATATATTTTTTTGGGGTAATAAAGGCTATACTGTATTCAATCATATAAATTACTCTAAAACTTTAAAAATAAATGTAAAAAATAGTAAATTTTAACCCCAGAAACAGAGTTTGTGCAGGGTAAGGACGGCAATTATTATTATTTGTCATTATTATTACTATGTAAGTACCTTATATATTTTTTGATACATCAATCGTGTATTTTTGACTTTGATATTTTTTAATCTCTATACCGGGTGTTCAAATTAAAGTGTTACAGCTATATACCGCCTTTTATAAAAAAAAAAAAACGTTTCAGACGAAAGTTTTATAGTTTTGTAGAGAAAAATTTTTTGCTAAAATCGTTTTTTATAGCTAACCATAATATGGTCAACTTTTTTTCGCCTAGCAAAATTTTCAAGTAGCTGTTACTCAAAAAGTAAAAGTCCAATAAAAAAAAATATTTTCATCAAAAGTTTCTTATTTTTTTATGTACTTTAAGAATATGTAAAAAAAACATGGGATTCCCATTTAAAAAAACAAAGTCCACCTCGATATGGCCATATTATGGTCAGCTAAAATTAATTTGGCCAAAATGTTTTCCCCAAAAAACTATAAAACTTTTGTCAGAAACTTTTTTTCTAAAATGCATATTTTCGGCGGTATTTAACTGTAACACTTTAATTTGAACACCCGGTATATTGTCCCTATTCATATTTTTGTAAACATTGATATTATTGTAAAACAACTCAAATTTTTATAAATGTCATTCGTACCTATAGCCCATTAAGGTACCAAGGTTTATGAAATCTAATACTTTCTACATAATAATATTAATGATAAATAATGTTTTAAAGCCTATAAATTATGCAAGATCATAAATACATATATACCACCCACTAAAACAAAAATCACTTATCACAAGAAAACAGTTAACTAGCGGCAAATAAACCAAAACCAATTAGTAGCATAAAGTGTACCTATAGTAAGAAACTAATGTACACTAACCACAAGTAAATAGTTCACTAACTGTAGGTCGTCTAAAAACTAATTGAACTGTTTACTAACCACAGGTGACTAATTTCAGAAATCTTGTTATTAAACATTTTACCTGTATATAGTATACAACTTTTTATTTGCGGTAAGTAAAAGTTCGCTAACGGTTAGTGAATTTTTTTCCGTGTATCTATTATTTGTGACTTTTAATTTTCATACATATTTATATAATGCGTTAAAATGTGACACTCCGACAAAATTGTACTTACTTATGACATATTAGACTCGGAAAATTGAGGTTTCGATACAGCGTCAAAAAGGCCAACGTAACACCAGATGGAGATTCAGAATATTCCAGGTCTCAAAATGTTCTTGACTTACACTTAAGCAGGTAACAATAACGAGTTTTAATTGCTATTATTACATTTAGAATTTCGGGGTACTTTAAAAGAATAAAATCTGGATGTATACACTTAAGTAACCGCAAACAAACAAATATATAATTAACAGGTTTATTACTTACAAAAACTAAGTAACTAAAAAAAAATGTTATATTTCAAAAACCCACTCCGCTTCTGGTCTTTTAGGAACCCTTAGCCAATAATAAACAGAAATTTGATTTCCAACGGAGAATTAGGAACGTTTTTGGGGCTCAGTGAGACGATTATAATAACAAAGAAATATTTTATTAACCCTGAAGGGTCTACGTATTATGAAAAATTAAGCCTTGAGACTAGCAACATTAATGGTTCACTTATTAACAACTATGACTTTAATTTCCCTAACGTTATCTAAGAGCTTTCTGTGAATAACCTAAACGCGGTTAATACAGTCTCAGTAGATAGTAGCTCGATGACCAATTCATTCAAGCGACTGACATGAGTCAAGATATTATTTATTCAAAAGAAAATAGTACAACGGTCTGATTCAAAGCTCAATTTAAAAAAAAAACTGTTGGGAGCTCGGATAATACCGGAATACCCAGTAGCAATTTAATGAGCGACTCACTGAAACGACTCAAATGGATCTAGGTATTACTTATTAAATCCAATGGGGTTTATATTGGTATTAAAAATAAAATACCCTACAACAAAATTAAATCCCAACTACACCTAAAATCTAGACTCTAGTAATTCGATGAGCGGCTCATACAAACAACTCAAATGCGGCAGATAATACCCAGTTCATGTTTTTTTGAGCAATAAAAAAACTACTTCATTACAATACATTGACTGAGAACGCGTTTGTTTTGAGCTTTGGTCTACGCAATTGCCATACCAATGTTAAAATATGGTTGCTGCGTCATTTTATCCATATGCTTACCAATTTCCCCTACATAACTAAACGTGCGTTTGAATTTCTGGATGTACAGAACATAATATGGATCAAATACAGATATCCAAAGGATAATCATCTAGTTTCAAAATATTAGTTTATGTAAATTTCTCCTTAATAGAAATCACCGTTAGTATATCGCAGATACTAGAGAGAAGAAGCAAAAATAAACAGAACCAAAATTATTCCCTCTCAAAAGTAAATTCGCTAATGGCAAACGGACAAAAACCAGCTCCAAATTGGCCTCTCTCTGTTTGTACAACCAGCCGCGATCTCAACTTCCATCAACCTCTTATGTCTCTGCTACTCTACCGTAACTGAAGACTGAAAGGCCGTGTAGCTACGCCTTGAATTAGGCAACCGGATACACCGATACGACGAAACTCCATCCAGCTTGCCGTGGAACATCGAAAGCCTTTTCAGGCCTCGTATAATGTATAATCTCGCGTGATTAGCGGTGCACTGAAGATTACATTAGGCGACCGCCGCCATCTTACGGCCGAATTGGTACTTAGTGGAGCGTAGCAAAGGAGCCGGAGTTAGTTGGGAGTGGAAGTTACATTAACGCTGCTTTCCATTTGAGACGGTTTTGAGTGTTGGAGGGTTTTTGAGAATTGAAAATTGGGAGTTTGTTTAACGGGGTTTGATAGTTCTGGCTAGGTTTGTGTAACTATGTTCGTGTTAACTTTAAAAATTTGATTTTTATTACAATATACATATGTAAAGAGTTGTAAGGTGCTTTTATGTCTAAGATAATTTAACCTTTACTAGGTTCGGAACCACTCAGCAGGCACCAGTTTTGTTTATGTGACAAAAGCACTCGGGATGCCTCAGATAGAGATACGGAAAATTCCAGAGATCATGTTGGTATCAGGCTGTGATTATAAGAGGGTTACATTAACGGGATTTAATCGTTATTATTACACCCACCTCCTCCATTAGTCTTTGAAACTATGAACAAAAATAAACAAAAATAACAGTTTTGAAACGATGATGGCTAGGAAGGGACGGAGCTCTATAAGATGTTAATAAGTAATTACAGAAAACAAAACGGTGTTCTTTACTATATGGGATTGTTTGCTTATGAAAATGAGTTTAAAAAGAAAATTCATAATTAAATATTTCAGAATCAATCGGTACCAGGTATCTTGTTTGGTATCCTACTAGATATCTTCTCCACCCTTAACAAATATCAAAAATATCAGAAAAATTCAACGGATAACACCCAAATTACTAGCAATGTCCTTCTACTCCACTCTTACAGGTAGATTTAGATATTTATTAAAAATTAAATAATTACAATTAACGGCCCTTGTCTATTAAGATATCAAAAATAATAGAAAATTTTAACGAATAATACCTATATTACTAGTATTGTGTTTCTGATCCTCGCTGACCGGTCATTAGCTAGGTTTAGATAATATTTATTAAAAACCACCCTATAATTTGTATACTCAAAGGACAAAATCTGTTCCCTTTATTAAAACAGAAAGTAAAAACGTCCCTGATCTGGCACCAATCAATTTTCAATTTCAATTATATAGTTCTCAAATAAGTAAATAAAAGTAACTTCGTTACAGAGTATTTTGATTCTCGTTAGGATTTTATATTTGCATATTTATATTTATTATTCAAATAAAGGGAGTGAAATAAACAATTCGAGTCACATTAAATTTTTAAAAGTTAAAATTCAAATTTATTATTTTAAAGGGATTTTTTGAGCGCACCTCGTAGAACAATACCTTTTTCCAAACGATTGTGGCACGATACTTTTGTCGACTGTCATAAATAACGAGAATTTTCATTTTTAAGATTCTCTTGGCGCTCAACGTGGGGCCAATAAGTCCTTGCACGTGGTCAAAATCTTTAAAAAAGTAAAACGAAAAGAGAGGAAGCAAAAACTGACGCAGGGAGAGAAGGATACTTCCCTGAAATATGCTTGGTTCCCCCAGATATATTTTTCTTAAAATTTGTATTTAAACAAAATGTTTTCTAGCCTATGTCTAAAATTAAAAACATTTAAAACGTCTTTTCAACAAATCCAACAACGTCTGATATCATTTGTGCTTGGAAACGGTTCGATAGCCGATACCGTACATTTAGTTTATTTAGGTATTACCGATCTTCCATTTTGTTATAAATACAATATGCATGTAGATATGTTTTATCTAATGGTATGTGCTGAATTTTTTCATGTTTGTTACAGATAATGGACTGATAAAATGCGAGAAAGCCTGGTGTGAAAACAACAACCTCCATAATCCTTTAGGTAAATATTTTAGTTTTTAAATTATTGTACTAGAAATATTGGACAAAAATTAGAAAAATTGTACTTGTTTTGAAGACAATTTATTTATTAATATTAGATATTTTAAATAATAAAATACTTTCGATGCATGATTCTGTTTTTTTTACAGATAGTAGCCTAATCAAATGTGAGAAAACTTATGAAATCTGCGAAGGATGTGGGCAGAAAATTCACGATAGGTACCTGATGAGAGTGGCTGATTCCAGTTGGCACGAGCATTGTCTGTGTTGTTCGATATGCGGAGTTCTCTTGTCGCATTCGTGTTATACTCGGAATACCAAACTTTACTGCAAAGCAGATTATGATAGGTAAGCAGGATGTTATTAAATATTCCAAATTTTACCGATATTAAAAAACTAAGGCCTTTTAAATAATGAAAATTGTGTTTAAACGAAATATAGGCAGTAATTATTAATTTCAGTCCCATTAAAACTAAAAAAACACGTTATATCTGCCCTAATTAGCTCAATAGAATTGAGCTCAATTTGATACGGGAGCAGTTTAAGAACATCCACATTGCGAAGTGTCGTTTTGCCAGTAATAGTGATTCAGGTTTGATTAAGGAAACCTTAAACCCGACATCTTTTTCCCGAAGACAATCTTTATTATTTACGACAACATTTTGTATGGGCAACTGTTTCAGTATTCGGTTGTGATATGATGCGTTGTCCAATACACATATTATTAACGAATCAAGAATTTTGATGAATCAATCTTTAAAAACTGACTCGTAATCGCCTGACTTTTTGAATTCAAAGAGCAGCTATATGTAATTATACTGGATTCAATATAAAATCCAATGTACGTCATCAAAGGCACGTTTAATTTAAGTCCGCTACAATCACACAGTTGCCAAATTTAGTAGCAATAAATTTTGCACAATCAAAATTTTATTTAAGCTTGATGCAATTTGCAATAAGAAGTAATTATGTTCAGTTAGTTTATAAACATATATTTTTAAGTAACAATAATTAAGCGAGAAATCTTCTCACATCACTCAGATCCATCAGAACTAAAGTCAGAATTATATCTGTTTGTAATTTCTAATATGTCCATTATATGCTCCATTTTATCATATTTAAAAATGTGTTACACTGTCCAAATTTGTGGAGTGCTCCAGTAATGTTTATACTATTTCTATTCCGACTTATATATCTGTTACATTACTATTTTGAAATGCCCAAATAAACTCTATTGGATTGAACCTACAATAGTACATCTTATGTTCATACTGTTCAGCTAGCATTATTACTAAAAAAAATAAAATTAAAAAAAATTTAGAAAAAAAAATGGTTTTCATTACTCACCGTACAACAAGGTTTAGAAGTTCAGCCTTAAGCATGGTAACAAACTATGTTCAGATTTTTCAACCACTTTTTCATCTGATTCTTAATCCAATTACTATTTGAAGTTTTATGTGCCAATGTGCTATATATGAAGCATTGTCCATTACAATTACAGATGATTCATTAAGTCTTCAAGGCAATTGTTTTTCGAACCAATTTAAAAAAAAATTGTTATTCATCTCACCATGATGATCACATTGATTACTTTGGAAGCACATTTAGCCTCACTACCTTTTTCCATCAACTTTTATGTTTTTTGCACTCTTCTTATTGCTGAATTGCCTACCGCCAGTTTACAAACTTCGTCATATTTGTAATAAATTAAGTGACTGCTCGACTTATCTTTTTACATGTATACATAATGTCTGCCTAAACTTAACTTTTTTCTCATTATATTATGATTAACTGCATATTCACAATATTTTGCTTTGTAGATTAATTTGTATATTGTGGTTATTCCCACTTTGCAATTGGTTTCTGTTGAGTGGTGTTGAAATAAATAAATAACGGTTTATCATAACATTTTGGGAAATGCAAGTTTCGTCAATAAAAGCAAACTGATATAAACTTTCTTTGACATATTTTCTTAAGTTTGCTCATTTCAAAAAAACATCAGGAAGGTTCATAAAACCTCGCTTTGGTTTATCTTTATTCCATTTAAAAACCTATTTCTAATAAGGTACATATGCAATTATGCGCGTCATCCATTGAAGAACTCTCTTTCATTGACTTTCACATACAGATAATCTAAAGTTGCATGCTCCTCTGAAATCATACATTAATTTATAATTGTTTCCTAATAATTATTTATCTACACTTACTCGACTCGTCTTGCTAGAAATAGCATCTCAAATACCACTGGTATTCATTATTTTTGTGTTTGGTGACCTCCTTTGTCCAAGGGCGCATTTTTGATGGTGATTTTAAAACTTCACTGTTATTTACTGCTTGTAATATAAACTAACAGTAGATAGATCGAGGTTAAGTGCTGCTGCTACTCTCTAAAAGAAAATAATTATATGTTGATACACATTATTAATCTGTACTTACCTCTCTTAACAGCTGCTAAAGGTAGCGAGTATAAAATGCACAATAAATTTGTCCTTAAAAGAAGTTTGTTAATAATTTGGGTCCCAGGATATAACGAGCAAAAGAGTAAAGATATTGCAAATAGTCTTGCAAGAAAAGAGGCCCAAACATCCTTTGTGAGACCTGAGCAGCTCTGCAGTATCAGCAGTAACACAATATTAAGAGAGATTAAAAAAGAATTGGGTAGTAGAAGAACCAATATTTGGAACAACCTCGTGAGGCTAAGACAGGGTAAGATACTTCTGGGTGAATATAACCAGAAACGATAGGAAGGCAGATACAGCAAGAACAAGCTACGCATTGTAAACGAATCCTTACTGGGCATTATCGACTCAAATGACACCTTAGTAATCTGAGAGTAGTAGAAGCTATTGAGTATAGATTCTTTGAGGAGGAGGAGGATACCTCCATTAACATTCTGTGTAGCACTTCAGAATCGCAGGGTACTATACCTAGAGGCATATCAAATATAAGAGGGAGATTTACTTAATTTAAAGCCATTTCAAATCATACACTTCCTTGAGAAGATAGGATTGAACGAGTCGTTATAGACATCGGGACTTTCCTTGCTGCATTAGCGACATAATGAGGCACAATAGATCTTTTAGGTCGCAGTGTATTAACACTCCATTCCCAACATAATAATTTAACCTCAAATCTAAACAATTTGTTGAAAAGAAATCGAACGATGCTAAGAACAGGACGCTTAGCAACAATGACCTTAAATTGACAGTTCATGAATTGATGTCAATTTTCAGTACGGAATTCACCAAAATTATTCTACTATAATCCTACCTACTATTGAGATATTGTTAAATAAAATTTCATTTATTTTAACGGTGTGCGTGGTACCGATACCTGTCATCGAGGTGCATTGAATTTTATATTGAATCCAGTATAAAAAAATGTATGTTGACAATTAGACTCCAATAATTGTATTTTTCATTTATAAAAGCTAAAATGAACTGTGATTTGCACGATTGCGCTTCTGACAGTTTAAAAATGAACCACCACTTTTTTGCCGTAAATACACTGGCGTACCAAGCGAATTTTGATTTGTAACTTGATCAATTTTAGCCTTCTTTATGGTCATTCCGTATCCTCACATATTGAGGTTGGTTTTAATGATCCACTTAGACCTCAACCTGATCTATAAATATTGCAAATGTTTGTGTAAGGGTCTGTTGTTTACAATTGTACTATATATAACATAATATAACATAATAATATAACCTTCTACCTGTATACTTACTACCGTCTTTTGATGATGCTGACGATTAAATGTGATAGTTCTTGAGCAGTAGGGCAGTAGATCCTAACTCTTTGGTAGAAGTAAAAATTTTCTTAATTTCTCAAAAATGTTATTTCCAGAGGACAATCAAAAAATTCATCTCGCAGTAAGTCAACTAAAATAAATCATTTAATCAGTGTTTTCATTTTCTACTCGTTTAAAGTATCTGTATCTTTTCAGAAACAGCTTTAAGCGCTTTTGATGAAAAAAATCCCTTCACTGGGCGTTCTACCGAATTCATTTTATTTAATATCAAAAAATCTCATATTTTTATATAGAAATCGCGGCAGATACTCCGTTCGTTTCCGTAACAATTCTGTTTTTTTTGTGCTTCTCTAATAAAAGATTTTTTTGCTTGACGTAATAACCAAAGTCTATACAATGTATATTGTATACACATCCCCGACTTACTCCCTTTGGCAAGCACGGAAGTCGAGGAGGAGGCTTTATTGGATCTACTCCAACGCTTTCCGAAACTAATATCGCGAGAATTCAGGGCCGGCTGTCGGGAATAACGCTTAGTAATGCAAAATGGAGATAACGAAATATATCACTGGATAGTCTAAATCTACTGACAGCAAAAATGATAATTGTAAAGATTATATATAACGAATAATGTTAAAATTAATTAAATTACTAATATTTTTATTGATTTCTAAACCGCTGAAACAAATAAAACGTTGCATTGCGCTAGTTTTTGAATTAGTCAAAATTTCAATTATTCTGACATTTATTGTCAATGTCAATCAAAGGCCTATAGGGGTACAGCCCCCAGTACAAGGAGGAATCAATTTGTATAAATATAATATACGTTTTTAATATAAACTATTACATTCCATGTCTATTTATAACTTTCACACGGCTCCTTTTGTTTTGGTTGGTCCAATCATAATCTATTCACTGACGTTGCTGGCTGGTTGGAAACAAGGAATTCAGGTGTTCGGGCGGTAGATCGAGCGACGTCGGCCGCACTCAGAGGTCGCAGATATCGAATTTTTATAAGGAACAGGACTAAATTTCCGCCTTCGCCTCATTCTAGGCACCACTTAAGACAGTACAACATACGTTTGCTACGTTTGAAAAGTACCTCACGGAGCGGAGTAGAGCTAGTAGATTTTTTAGTCACGTGATCATCGAGCAAATCGAGCTTATGTGGAATAAAAGAACGGCTATGGATTTGTTTGTTTCCCGTATCCGGTTTTCATTAAAATAACAAACGTAAACCTTTCTTTTAAATCAAATTTGATCCCTCGTCTCGTGGTTTTTGTTGCAAGTTGCCAAGTAAAGTAAATTTTTATCTGTGGTATTTTTCGCTTTTTTGCTTTCACTAGAAAATAAACCATGTTCTCATTTCTGTCTGACATGTTTTATAAATATTTTTTTTAATAACCAAACACATATGAAAAAGAATAAACTGCAATACAAAAGACAACGAACGATGTCTATACATCTCAGAAAAGTACATCTACTTTGTCAATTGTCACAGAAATTCCATTTACTCCGAAAGCTCTAAAATTTAACTCGGAGTAAATAGATCTTACTCGATTTACCAGCTCTGCATTAAAAGACCACGTAGCAGATCCCATCGAGAAGCCGCAGATGTATTAAAAGAACGACTTCGAGTAAAAAGAGCAAAATGAGGTAATTTTCAAACGCAGCATTTGGTGTATGTTTGGTTGTATACTAATAATACTAGCAGAGAGCTTTTTATTTTTATTATATCGCTACAGCGAACATCTTAAGACTGACTCACTCATAATATTTGTAAATTCAAGAATATTCATCAGCAATTTCTGTTTTAAGAGGCACCATTCTTTCAATGTAATATGAAAATTAAAATTAAATTCTTCTTTTTGTATTCTAATAAAAATATATATTTATATTATACGGTGTATCTAGTATTTTGTATGTTATATGTACTATATTTTCGGATATGTCATACATGCCGAAGATGCCTCGCTGAGCGATGTACGACAAATAATAATCGATAATTGATAATCGATATAATAGGTCGATGAAAAATGTGCAGTCAAGTTGATTTGACCATGTTCAGACTATTATTACTAGCGTGTTTATGACCAGAGGAGATCTGTCTTAAAATAATTGGATTCATATTATGTAGTCTATACAGTTTTAGATAGTGAACAGTGATACATTTTTATTATGATTCTGTTTGTGTCTTTTATTTCACATTGCTGGGCTACTTAACACCAAATGTATTGGCTTTTCATTTTCATTTTATGTAAAAAACAAGCCGTATGAATATGTATACAATGTACACATCCGATAGCTACCGTAACCGTCGCGGCAGAAACGAATTGGAGTGGGCAATGGTCAAGATTTCCAGGTACAATAATCCTGCCATTTAGAAATAATATATTTCGTATAAACATATTTACTGAATAAAAATAAACAGCATGGATTGTCGCCATTAAAACATTTTTATAATTAAAATATAAATTATATTCGCAATATAACAATAATGCCTAGATGTTTCGAGTTGATTCATTTAACTGCGCGAGAAGAATTTGTTGCCAGATAGATTTAAACTAAAAACTAAACCTATTTGATTTAAAAAATAAACCGCCAATAAAGTTGAGATGACTAATCCAAAAAGAAATTATTTCCGAAAAGTACAGGTCACATTTAGTACCTATATAATGTAGAAATGTTAAATCAAAACTCTTTAAATGTAAATAATAAAAATATTACTTTCTGGATCAGATTTAGCACTTTTTTCGAAATCAAGAAACCTTTTTCGATTTCAAACTATTCCAAAAATTCCTGCTTGGTTACATCATACACAAATCAATTCAACAACTAATTTTTCTGTGAATACTATTCAAAGGGTTTAAGAAAAAAACCTCGCTGGTCTTATTCTATTTATTCCTCCCTACTGATTTCTATAAATCCCTTAAGCCGTCTCTGAAAAAGTTAAACTTCCCATCTCCCGAATTCTATATATATCGTCCTCGATTCTAATAAAGAATCGCATGTTTGTGCGCGTTTTTCTTTCGAAAAAAGTCATTTTCTTTTTTGTCCTATCTAGCCCAAAGCCTGACGTTATGAAAATTGCGTGTGTTTTTGTTTTTAATTCAAAATGATGGGGATATTTTTTAATTGAAGCTTGCAGGAAATTGTCAAATATCACTTAATGAGCCAGGTCTCGGGAATCGTCACAGATATTATAGGGGTTCCCTCAATTTGTCTAAAAGTCAATTATTATTTACCTACAATAGTGAATACAAAATGTATGACCCAAATACCTTTAGTTCGGTTTTAACACTGCAAGAGACTAAGTCAGAGGCGTCCAGGGAAAAAAGGAGGATAATTTCAAAGAACCAAATGGTATGTACCAAAACCAAACTCAAAGACTTGGGGGTCATCAATTTTATGTCTGCATTGCAGCCCTCAAGGCTTATTGTGCCAGCATTTGACCATCCTTACCAGGGCTGCTGCGGAGATATTTAAAAATGTACTAGAAAATTCAAGGAAAATGTACTAAATTGTACTAAATTTTGGGTGGACTGTCATTTGTCGAAACTGTCACGTATATTGTCGGTTGTCATGCTAAATCTTGTCGAATGTCAACTGTAGGATGGATGGGTGTTGTTTGTTTTTGTTGCTTATGTACTTTAAAAAATTGAAATTGGAATATACCACTGGAATATACCGAGACGTTAATATGAATATGTTTTTTTTGTTTTAAATTTTATTTTAATCAAGTTTAAAGGCAAGTTTTTATGTGTTTATCAAGGCAGGTAAAAATAAATTGTACGATCATAAACCAGTCACTGATACCAGGATTCTGAGCAATAGATAATTTAGCGGTCCCAATATTCTACTGAGCAGAATCCTGGAGTCGGTGACGGATTTCTGATCGTTTTTGAAATAGATCTTATGTAAAATCCCTTTTCTTTAGGGAAAATACCGCCGATATTTACAATACATACCCTTATATTGAAAAACTTAGGCTTTCTATCATACATGGTGCCATAAAAACGATCACTATTTCAAATTGTACTAAATTGTCCTTGATTTGACTTAAAATGTACTTTTGTACTTTGCCGTGTGAAATGTACTAAATTTAGTACAATTGTACTGAAACGGCAGCCCTGATCCTTACTGTCACATCCACTCACTCACTCACTTCAGCTGTTAACCAAACACTATGTGACCGACCGGAGTACTGACTGTTGGGTATTCTTGAATCTCAGGGAGTAGAAATAATGAGGGAAGAATTAAACAAATAAAGATTTTGTATGTTATAGAAAACAAGGATATCTATTCCCTCAAATTCAAGAAAAGGTACGCTGAGCTGTTGAAAGAACGTGGATGTGCACTAATTTATTTTGTTTAGGTGTCTTTTTACTGAAGCATTCCATTCATGATTATTTTTAACTGGTTCCTATTCATATGCTGCGTTTTAATATCCACATCGGATGCATCTGAGATGTAAATATTTAATCACGTGATTCAATATACGTAAATGTAGTAGGACAGATGTGTCCGATGTGGGTAAATAAACGCTCGAGATGTAAAAAATACATCGGATGCGGATATTCAAACGCAGCATTAGAGTTACTCCTGTTCTATGTTCTTTTTATGAATGTTTTCCCGTATGCTTATTTGGGACAATTTCCCTTTTCTTACTTTTCTGATTTATTTCTTGTTTTCAGGATATTCGGAGTGAAATGTTCCAGATGCGGCGACAGACTTCTGCCTCACGAGATGGTAATGCGAGCCCAACAACACGTTTTTCACCTGCCATGTTTCGCCTGTGTAGCCTGCGGACAACCTCTTCAGAAAGGCGAACAATTCGTTCTGAGGGCTGGTCAACTGTTCTGTAGAGGCGATTTTGAAAAAGAACTATACCTCCTCCAGCAGGCCAGTTCCGGCGATGACGATTTATTAGATGAAAATAGGTGAGAAACTTTTTTGAATATCCATGATGTCTTTTCTTCTCACTATTTTTTTACATAGGCCTCCTGAATCTTTCCATCTTTTGCTTTCCAATAGATACTTACAATTATTACTTTAAAATCATCCCATTTTTTTTTTTAGACAATTTCTCGTTTTTTGGACTTAGAAAGTACAGTATCGTGTTGAATTGCTACTATTGATCTTCTTTTGTAATGTATTACATGTGTTACCGTTTTTTATTGATTTACGTCCAATAAGATAGAACCTAATAGCAAGCATGATAGTATATTGTCGAATAACTATAATTTGATTTGGAGTGAGGGTAGCCATATGTGAGTAGTAGGGATTAAGTGTAAGGGTGAGAAATAAAGGACCTTTTTTTTAACCCTTACACTTAACTATAATCTGTACTTAATATTTATGAACTTCATATAACATCTATGAAGTTACAGAATATTAACTTTACTGAACATCTAATAACTTTACTGAACATCTATTAACTTTACTGAAGATCCATTAACTTTACTGAACATCTATTAACTGTATTAAACAGCTATTAACTTTACTGAACATCTATGAACTTTACCGAACATCTACTAACTTTACTTAACATCTATTAACTTTACTAAACATATTTACATTTTAAAATGAACTCTTACTGAACTTTCATAAAACTTACATAATTTTTACTGAACTAAGATGATTTTTTCTTCCAGTAGGCCGCGCGACGGCCGACGTGGACCGAAAAGGCCGCGAACGATTCTGACGTCAGCTCAACGCCGCCAATTCAAGGCCTCGTTCGAGGTGAGTCCGAAGCCATGCCGCAAGGTTCGCGAAGCCTTGGCCAAGGAGACCGGCCTCAGCGTGCGAGTGGTGCAGGTGTGGTTCCAAAACCAGCGGGCGAAGATGAAGAAGATCCAACGGAAGGCGAAGCAGGACGACGGGAAATCGTCGAGCGATAAAGAAAAAGGTGATAAGGATGATAAGATTATTAAGCAGGAATCTCCGAGTAGTGAACATGGACATTTTATGGGTTTGGGGAATTTGACGGGCGACAGCCATTTTCAGTCTAGTCAACCGCTTAATCCTAACGTTCCCTACTCGCCCGATGGTAAATAATTGATTTTTTTACTTTCAATGTATATGTCTCCATTATAAAGGGCGAATTAAAAAAAAGAAATCGATTTTATGTCGATACAACCATTTAATTCTATCTACTTCAAATTAAGATTAAGAAGTACAATCTAAATTAACAATCTTTGAGTATTTAGTTACATTTTTCGGCATGTTGATAAACCAAAACACATTAAAGGAACACCGTAAAAATAATTGAATTTTCTTAAGTTTGTGGCAATATTATTACATAATTATGGAGTTCATCAATTGGATCGAAGGTTTAGAGCAGGTTTTTATAGATAGAGAGGACCCTGTAGAGAATAAATATACTTAATTGGTAGGTAGACTCTGTTTCAATAGTAAAGAGTACAGTGGCATCACACCAATACGAGCGAAAGTCTCGTAATAGTCAACGTCATTGTAAATATGATAAGTTGTTTAAATCCTGCCGATTTCCTTGGAATAGAGGATAAAAAAACCTAATACATTTACTTACAGGAGGCGACTCATAAGGACATTTACTTTAGTATTTTTAGTAGTAGAGTACATAATATGTAGAGTACTAACTCTACCGTTACTAGCACAATGTAAATATTTAATGCTAATGACAGTAGAGTACTAAAAATAACATCTGGTAGAGTAGATATCGTATGTGGCATAGTAGACTCTACTAACCCATTCCCTTCCTACTATACTAAAATTTCAAAATACAGACAGTCCAGTTGAGAGGGTACTGAATAGAGTAGATAGGTTTGATGGCTAGTGTGGTACGTGCTGATTTAGCATTTCTCATTGGTGTAGCATTGTTCGTAATACGTTATGTGACTAAATTTAAAAGTATGACAAATTGTTCGGGTGTCATTCTTAAACATTTGCTATATTCTTCTGGATTTCTACTGCTAACGTAAAAGAGTTACAAAGGCTCCTGCTACATCTCTTCTTTGAATCCAATTTTTTACCCTTATCCTTTTTTAGTACTTTCATGATCTACAAGTTTCGTTATTTCATTTAATACGTTTATCACAATTTTGTTTTTGCATGGAACGTCGCCGTACGAGATTCATTGTCAACTGTACTTGACTCTATCAATTTTTATGGGTCGTGTAAACGGCAACTCTACTAAAATTGGTAGAGTAGTATAGACAAAAAATATACTAGTATTCTTTGCTACTAAATATACTAATTTAAAACCCCCATTTTTAATCAGTTTTTCAAAAACCCCTTACAGAGCTTGATTTTTACTAAAAAATTCAAATTTATATTATTTTTCTTTTTTGAGTTCGGATTTGTTTTAATATTTAAATCTGATTAAAAATGGGGGTTAGGGGTAATTGAAATTAAAAAAATATATATTAAAAACGAAAAGCGATATCAACATGAAAATTTTGGCAGGTTCTATAAAATGAAGCCTATTGATTCTAAAAAAAATCTGAATTGAGGGGTCAATGGGGGTTAATATTAAAAAAAGATTTAACTCAAAGAAGAACTTGAAATTTTAAGCAAAAATCAAGCTCTATATGGGAAAGAAGCCCTTTGTTATTAAAAAAAATCTGACTAAAAATTGGGAGTTTGGGGGGTAGAAATTAAAAAAAATCAAAAGCAATATCAACATGAAATGTTTAGTAAAAATTAAGCTCTATAAGGAGACTAAGCCCTTTGATTTTGAAATAAATCAAAACTCAGAAACAGAAAACGATATCAAATTGAAATCTTCAGGAAAAATTAGGCTTGATTCTGAAAAAATCTGATTGAAAATGAGGGTTAAGGGGTCTGTTAAACTGTGAAAAGTATAACATAGAATGCCAAGCACATATCTATACTCTAGTTGTTTATTTTTTGAGTGCATTTTGCTTACCTAAATCATACAGTTTTTGAACTTTCATAAATATATTTCTAAAGTAAGTAGATAACATACATCAAGTATATAGGGTGAGTCATAAGTTGATATTTTTTAACTGTGTCTAGAAGATAGAAGTCGTTAAAATAAACATCTAAATCCGGGCCTGGACTTATGTACGAAAAGTTAAACAAATTAATAAGTCTGAAGATGGCTCCACTAGTCGCACTTTACCTATGTTTAATAATATCAATAAATATAATATGTGGTATCGATTTTAGGTTCTATTATTTTGTTTTTGATTTATATCGTTCGAATACATAAATAAATATAAACATAGATATCGTTTTATAGTTAATCGTCAACCGTTTAGGTGCAAAAATTGTTCAAATTTAAAAAAAATACTATTTACAATCTTCCAAATGCCTTACTTCAAGCCCTAAGTGAATTATTTAGTCTAGTACAATTAATTGTAGTAGATCTAGTACATTCTTAAGTAATCTGGTACGTTTATTTACTCTTGAAGTTGAATCTAGTACTTTATCCTCGTCCATGCAGCAGTTTGTGCTTCCATCTGACGTGTAATTGTACTTTTTGAATCCACTGCTAATATAATTCGTTCGAAAAAAATCTGGTACATTTTTAAGGGATCTGGTATATTTTTTAGACAAATCTAGTAAGGTACATAACAAATAAATATTCTGACAACACTCTTGAGCGACGTCACTGTCGTCGCCTATGACGTCGCTGAACTCTTTACTATTGAAATGATATTATTGATATCGTCTATCAATACCGTTAATAATCTCAAAACTATTTATTTATTAATGCAATTCTGCTTCTCATAACGTAATTATTTATTTTCAGACAACTACCCAGCCCACTCAGGAGAAAGTTTTTGCAGTTCCGATATCTCTTTAGACGACAGTACAAATTTTGATCAATTAGACGAAGCAACTTCCGATACGATATCGCTACAAAATTTAGAATTACAGTCACATTCCCACCATAGCGAAGGCGGTTCCACGTCTACCTCCACCTCCATAGCCAATCCCATAGACAAACTTTATCTAATGCAGAATTCGTACTTTAGTACGGAACAGTAGAATAAAAAGTTTTATAGCGTTTTATCAAAAAAATGGTGGAATAGTGGAATGAATTTAAACCAGCTTACTTTCGAGTAACACATTTTTATGTATATTTCCAGTTGATCCGTAAAAATATGCTGTTCACTAAACCAAGAACGGGAAATTAGAATTTTTGTCAATTTTTTGGGGGTTTCTGGAATGTTTAGATACATTTCATAAATGTTTATAACCAAATGATTCTACAAGTTATCGTGATATAATGATCGGCAACACTTTACAAATGTTTTCCTAGATAGATACCTACGACTATCTTTGAAAACCAGGTGGTAGGTATATAAAGCAAGCACACTGTTCTTTATAAATAGAAAATAGCTTACCTGGAGGAAGTAGTCTATCTCACATAATTTCACTTTGAATGTTTGAAAATTATATAAAATTCGTTTCATATATTCAAAACTATCAATAAATGAAACGTCAAAAAGCAATACTACCAACTTACCCAATAAAAATAAAACTGAAAATATAACTAAACTAATACCCTCTAACAGTTATGCAACCAGTTATACACTGACGTGTATTCAGTTTGATCTACACTCTACAGCAATTATGTACTAAATATTTTAGAATGATGATATCACAACTGTCTGGAAAACAAAGAACATGAAAGATTTTCCTTTTATTTGACCTTTCATCAATTTACAATGTTAGAACAACTGTAAAGCTTTGTCTTTCTAATATCACACCATAATGTATCTAGATCTGGTATCTAGGCAAACTTAAACGTACGACTGATAACCTCTAGTCATTTTTCTCGTTATTTTAATATATTTTATATTTGTTTATTTTTTATATTTATTTATCTAAGTCTTTATGAATAGAATAATTGCGTAATATACATTGTTTTTTTAATGATTGAAAAAGAAAATGCCCTAAGCAATAGTCAATATTGTCAATTTTTAATCAATTACCTACCTACCGATCCATATTATTATAATCGCGTATTTATAGAAAAATAAATCACTATTCATGGAGATCTTAAGAATGTCGATTATTATTTTTCAGAAAACTGTTTAAAATTTGTATAGTGGAAAAATTAAAACTCTAAATAGAAATAGTACCCTGGCTGTAATACTGCATTTATTTAATAGGTTAGTTGGGTTTGTGTCGTTTTATAAAAATAATATAAAGGAGTGATTCACAAAAAAATGTTTCTAAGTCAGTCCGTGATAACTATTCACGACTTAAATCCAAACTGACAATTAAAAAGAAGAATTGTACTCTCAGACATGTGTAAATATCCAAGGCCTACTTTGGAAATATTTTTTGTGCATCAGTTCATATTTTGTCTTTATACAATGATTATCTAGTTTTTCCTCTACCTTTTTGAGAGGTACCTACCTCTAAATTTTGAAGATTTTATATCTAAAGAAAAACCAAAATCAATGTAAAAAACTCGTTTTCTGACAAATAAACTAAACCAAAGATGTACGATTACCAATTTTATTTTTATTGATTTGAATATTTGTATATAAAGAAAATTTATTATGCGCGAAAGTGCGAGATATATGTATATGAATTTACTTAGAATTAAATGTAAGTGTAAATATATACAACAACATTAGTTTTTATCTCAAAATGAGTCGAATTATTAATTGTGATGAAATGTTTTTGCCAAATATAGGATTTAATATTGTCTAGATTTTATTATGTATATTTTAAATAAAAGATTATACCAAGTAGCAATTTTTACTTTATTTTTCCATTAATCTATGTGTAATAATTTATTTCAGCTCTTGAGGGCCTAAACGGGGTCTGCAGGAAGGTTTCTTGCCTACAGTGTCACAGATAAAGGGACAGTGAGCGCAATTGAATGACAAATAGCAGTTACCAAACTAATTTTTGAGATCATTAATTTTTTGGACATACTTTAAGATATATCAATAAAAAGATTATTTAAAGACACAAAATGTTCATTAAGGAACAGTCTACCAAGTTCACAAAAGACCTACTGAATGATAGTAGGTTTTCTTACCACACACTGTCACCTAAAATGACACATGAGTGTCATCAATACAGCAAAAGCAACAATGTGCAGGATCTGTGAAGAAAAAGAGGAATTAATCCATGACATGTTCAGTGTGAACGCTTGGCTAGATTGGGGTTTCTAATACTAGGTGAAGAAAATCCAGATGCATGGAACTACTATGTCTAATAAAAAAGACCAAGCTAGAGGACATACTCTAAATGACAAAGTCCCACAATAGATCTGAGAAGGTCGCAGTGGACAATAACAAATAATGTCAAACTCCTTTCAATCTAATCTAATCTAGTGCAAAATACCATTTAAATTTAATTTAAAATTTGATATTCTACAAAATATTGTGCAAAAACCCCTAAAATAATTTTAATTTACAATTTAATAAACCAAATTCACCTAAAACACACACAATTTTTTTTATTGTACTTATAGTTTAAGTTGAGGTAATTTCTAATAATATAGCAAAATATAAAATTTTTACTTTTTTAAATTTAATTATAACAAAAAAAGTTTATCTATAGAAAGTGATTGAAATATTAATCAAAAACATACAAAATCTACTTACCTAAACCTAGGAAATTGAAAAATATTTACTGAAATAATTTATTAAATATCCCAAGTTTCTTTACAAAATACATTAAGACTTAAACATGAATTCCTTAAAATAACCTTATTAACTATCTTATCTAGTGGGTGCTGATGCCTCTTTCCGAGCAGCATCTTGTAGAAGTTGTGTGTCAACTTCATCAGCTGGTAATTGCACATATCTGACTACCGAACCTCTAATGAAGCAATTTTTAACTGAAAGCTAAAAAACCTTCACTTTATAAAACAATAACAAGTAAATTTATTATGCATGCAAAATGCTCTTGAAAATGCTTTTAATATTCTGGTGAAATGGTGTGACAGATGAACAACTTATGGCTAAACATCAACAAAGGCAGTTTAATATGTTTTTCAATGAAATAAAAAGTTAACTCTGGATATTCCATTAAAATTTATTGAACATAGGTATAAATGCAATCATTATTATGTATTCTCAAAACTTGGGTTTAATAAATTGGTCAGAATTCTCTATAGACACATTAAAAACAGGTTATTTCTCAAATAGTATCCCAATTAAAATATGCTTGTATTATATGTTCACCACAATAACAAATTTACTTGATAGCACTGGAGAGAGTGCAGAATAAGTTCCTTAGGGTGCATATAAGTTAAATATGTCAATAGTAGACAATAACTTTGACTGATTCTAATTTAATAAAATTTGTGTTTACAGTTGATCTAAGTATATTTTGTATTCAAATTATTGCATGGGAATATTAATTGATAAGATTTTCTTGAAAGTATTATCTTTCACATACCAAATATAAATTTAAGGCATTTACTTGAAATATGATTCCAAATACTAATTATGGCATGCACTCTTCACTTGGAAAGTACATTAAAAATAATTAATGAAGTCTAAAACATACAAAATCAACTTAGAAACAGCTTATTTACACATCTATTTTATTGGACTTTATATATTTATGTAAACTTTTAGGCACTCTTTACGAGAGACTACATAAGATTATTTATTTCAAGGAGGCCTACATAAAATTAAATTCACTTAAGTTTGTGTTTCTTCATTTGAATATACCATTTTATGAAAAATAACAAGTACTTACCATATGAGGGTACTTCTCGGTATCCGTTACACTTATATCTGTTAATTTTATATTCAAATACTGGTCTACCGAATGCAGTGTCCCACAGATACTAAAAAAAACAAGATTATTCATTGTAGAATTGATCATTTTAAAAGGTAATAAAAAATTTACCTTAAATCATTTTTGAGTTCGACAACCACATCTTTTCCCACCAAAGATTTAAAGAAAGAGTAGAATAACTGAAAAATATATAAACATTAGTACATATTTATTATTTCATTAGATACAAATTTTTACCATTTTAAACGGTAGAGGAATGAAAAAAAGTGAGGTTAGGCGTTAACGCTTCTTGAAATGTTTACAGTTTTAGAATAGACGTCGCCCTCTATAAGTTATTTATCAAACTAACTAGTAGAAATCTATTACTAATTAAGATTTTTGTTTTCCTAAATTAAAGAATATTCCTAATAAAAGTTATTTTAATTCTACAATGGAAATTGAAATGCAACGGGAACAAACACTTTTTTTTTCACCAAAGTTGCAAGTTACAGGTGGTAACTATCTTTCCTCCATGGTTACAGGTTTATGTACATTTGTAGTGACTATGTAGTGACTGTCCTGTAAATGATACTTGAACATATTCATCATACTACTCTATTATAGATGGCAATAGTTGAAAAAATCAATGAAGGAAAAATAAAGGATTATTTTTAGTTATTGAAAGTGGATGAATTGCCCTGAAAGATACAGTCCATAAAGGATATAGAACAAGAAGAAGAGTTATTTAGTTGAGGTTATGTCTTAAATCAAATTTAAAAACAATTTTTTTAAAAGTGTAATTTTTTTCAAGATATATTTGTGTATCTTTTCCCACTGAATGAAATTTTATTAAAATAATAGCAAAGTATCTCTAGCTGAAGATGTCGTCTAAAGAAGTCCCTGGAAACACGAAAAAAGTGGTTACAGAAATGATAACACCCCACAAAATAACTGTTAGCATTCTTATTCGAAATTTCTGCACCTTTAGGGACGTCGGTAAGTCTTCTTTCAATAATGTTTTCTTCATTTTTACCCAAAATTATTCTAGAAAAGGGGCATGAAGATCAAATATTGATGTGTAAGTACAGGCGAGATTTTTGCGTCTTGAGTTTACGATTATTACAAAGCCCGGATTTGTCTCTTTACGAACTAAGAGGACTTTTGACTTCCAAGAAGTACGTTATACCAGAAACGTTAATAGAATCTTTTGATCAAGCTTTATCTACTTTAAATGAAGAGGGTATTGGAAATTTGTTGGACAATGTCGATATTTTGGTTAAGATTATGAATAGATCCGATGATCATTTGAATACTAGCGGTAGCGTGATTGCTAAATCTAGTATCGTAGGTTATTATTTAAGAAGGTTCATAGTTTACTTTGATAAACTGACATTTTCGGAAGTAACTAAAGTGTATGAGGATTTTCAAGGGTATTATGAAGAGTTACAGAAAATGTCAAAATTTGCTAAGGCTAATGATGAAAAAAATGTAGATACTTGGTAAGAAAAACCATAAAGAGATTCTGGTTAGACTATAGGATCATTTTTAATTGTTTTTCAGGTTTGATGGTAGAGAACAGTGGTCTAGACGACAGGCAGAATTATTTATAGCAACACAAGCAACTTTACTATCAAATAATGAAGGAAAGGCTTTATCACCTCCTGAATTGCAAAAAAGAATTAACAATATATTAAAATCAAATCCAGATTTATCAGGAGCTGTAAGTTTTTGTTTTGGATATTAGTTAAATTTCTTAAATTGTAAATATGATTTTCTAGCATTTCATATCATATTTGAACTATTTACGTGTTGATGAATATTGTGGAGCCATTGATAGCCTTCTTCACTGCTTTGACAGGAATGTGGATCCTGATGTAAAGTGTTATAATGACGAAAAAAGCAAAAGGCATCGATTTGCAGCTCTAAATTTGGCTATTCTACACTACCACTTTGGACATACGTAAGAAAATGATAGATTTTTATTATAAAGTTGGTTTTTAAGTGTTTTCTTTCCCTTTTCCCAGTTTTTCATGTGATTTTTAATTTTTTTTACATGTTCTTTCTAGTTTTTATGCTTCTATATAAGATAGTAAGTAAATAATTAGTCTAACATATAAAAGGCCACAATATTTTGAAACAAAATTCTATTTAACATACTTGGTTTAAGACAGATATGCACATTTAGCCACAGTGGTCTGCAAACCACTTATCAACATCATATATGACTTCATGTTGAATATATTTTACCATTCAAGTGTTTCTTAAGTTTTAAGAACAAATAAAAATCCAATGGAGCTAAATCCAAAGAATAGGATAAATGGTTAACCAATTTTATAAATTTGTTTCATTGAAGCACTGCCTTCAAAAAGAGGACACCTTTAGCAATTTTTTCACGTAATTGGCACCTTTAAGACAAAAGAGATATGTGTATCTAGAATATTTAAACAATTTTCTAAATTTTATGAAGCGCTAAAACAAATAAAAATTAAATCTACAAAAAAATATCGATTTAACTTGCTTACTGATAGTCCCTTTAAAATTAATGAATATTCTTTTTTAATATTCTGTAAAACAAATTCGTTTAATATGTAGTCTGGAAACAACTTACCTATAGAATAAAATTGTTTTTCGCTGTACTTTAGAAAATCATGAAATATGCTGGGACACGTCAATTTTTATTTTAATCAAGGCTTATGTTGACAAAAAATTCGGCCTCCCCTTTAATCCTCTCCACGTGAGTGTCACATCTCAATTTATTTTAAAAAGATAGATGGTTTGTCTGCCACTAGTGGGGTAAAAACAGTTACGTATTGTAAAGTGTGAAAGCAAATTTTATTCATAATTCAATGCACTACAATATTAACCTAAATATATGTACACATTGCACCTGCAACATAATAATTTAGTAATAATGCTACCTTTTGTAAATATTGTTAAGTAAGATAATGTTATGCAGTGCATTAAATTACTAATAATATTGTAGCTTCCAAATGAAGTGACACTATAATACGTAACAGTTTTGTATCCCGCTAGGGGGCGCTACAATAAAAAGTAATGCAACAAACAGTCATATTGATGTATCCCCCATAAAATTACCTTTTCTATGAAGTGCCGCACCACCCATCTTGATATTAAAAAAAAAAAAAAAAAAAAAAAAAAAAAAAAAAAAAAAAAAAAAAATAGGTGTGGTTATCATCAGGAGGGAATTAAATGGGAAATATAATTTTTTATGCCATAAAATGTCCTATTTAAAATATAAATTGTGTCCGAGTGTATTTTACCATTTTCTACATTTTATTACGTACACTGTATATTAAATTTCACTTCAAAACAATAACACTATCCCATTTATCTAAGCACTATCCAAACTATACACTATCATTTTGAACATTTAATTAAAGGCTGGGGCAGTGACAATATGCTTATGTTTAAATTGTTGATGTTTATTGTAAACTTATGTTAAGAACAAAGACATTTCCCATAATATTAGAGTAATATATTATGTTTTACCCAAAAAACATAATTTTAGTTCATATAATGAACTGCGTCCAATAAGTCTGTTGCCTTCTTCTTAAATGTGAATCTATTTCCAAATTTACGAATATCTTCGTGAAAACAAGATAATCAATCCCTCTGCACTATTCACAATTTTCTTAACAGTATTGATAAGAAAAAAGCTAGTGTCCTGATGTTTAAATTTTAGAACATAATCTTAAATTTAAACAACATAATATCGCAAATCGACACTGTCCAATCCATTTATGTTAAACCCACACATTTTAAAAATTCATATTATTTATCCTACAACAAGAAACTTCGTCCGCTCTACCCACGCATTCAAGAAGTGCATATTATCCATCCTTCACATAACAATCTAACTTCGCCCCAGATACAGTACAAGCTAAATATATTTGCTGCAAGGACATGTGAAACATCATGTATCATGTGGATACCAAACTACATCACGTTATATATCGCAGCATTTTTCTTTTTACCACTTAATAAAAATAACAAACAATTCTGGAAAAATTCCACGTACTGATATATTGCTCGCCAGTTGGACACGCCCTCCTCACACAAGAATTAACCAGAGAAAATCGCCGCTCGCGTTACTCCAGCTTGAATCGTTCAACAGAAGAGATGCAATGGAGTTATAGATACTTAGTTTCTGAACTTTCAAAAGACAACATACCTCGGGTCGTATTTATTTACACAGACTTTGCTTTCGAACCTGTAACAAGTGTCTTGTTTCGGGGTCGCCCTTTTTACCTTTAAAATCCATTGAGCGTGCGAGTGAATTTCCTACAAGTGCAAAAGTGTTGTCGTGTAAATATGTAAATAAGTTGCGTTCTCCCTTTTCGAATAGTTGAATAAACGGTGTGCCATTAGTTAGTGTTTTAATTTATAAACAAATTTCCCTTTCAATGCTGAATAAAAATCCACCGATCCAGGTTCGTACGTGATAATATTTTAATTGCAGAATCATTCTGTCAATGAAACACCTAGTTCTACCAGATTTTAGCAAAGCATTTGAAATTCAATTATAGTCTCCTTGTATCAAAGTATTAATGTTATTATGGATTTGATAGTATCTCCTTAAATTTTATAAAAGCGTATTTAAGTTAACGATCACAGTTGCTTACAGTAAACTGTCAAAAAGCATCCAATCAAATTAATTTCAGCGTACCATAAGGTTCGATCCGAGGACCCCTGCTTTTCTTACTAACTTTTACGAACACGTAGGTGTCGGATAGTCCAATGTTTTGCGGATGCCACTCAGCTCTTCCTCAACTTTTTGTCAAATGAAGCCGTTAATGCTGTCGATATGATTAATGAAGACCTTTAAAAAATTGATAACTATTCGTCTAATCATAACCTTTATAATAATACTTCGAAATCAAAACTATTATTATTCTGCAGACAATATATAAAAACCAAACAACTCTGGTGATATCTGCTGAACCTATGAAGCTGAAATTTAGGATAATACTTTGACCATCAAATGAGATTCAGTCAATATGTCAAATGGATGTTACAAAAGGGTTCTTAATAACAAAAGTGTTACCTAAACTGTTCTATCTCTTTACGTCGATCTTACCTTTTGTGGCAGCCTTAGTGGAAGACACCTCCCTTGTAACTAGCTGGCAACTTGGGTTGCCAAGAACCGAAAGTGTGTTTGTATATTGTCATTTTATATTATTATAAATTTTAACATTTGTCATACGCATATGTATTTATGTTTATCGTTATTAAATCTGTACAACATTAATAATTTTATTTATGATGGGACCTAAACGTATCACTGGTAACCCCGTGCGTGCAAGACCTTACAATTTCCTATATTTTTCATGCGAATTTCATATAATTAGTTTCTAAAAATATGCTCCTTCAACTTTTTTCGTTTTTGTTGTTCACTGTGTTGATTTCGAACCATTTTTTTTTAGAGAAGAGGCTTTGGCTGCCCTAAAAGAATCAATAAAAATTTCTCAAGAGGCGAACGATAACATTTGTCTTCAGCACGCCCTCTCGTGGCTGTATCGTTTGACTACCGTTAACGAAGACAAGCTCATCATTCACTGTATATTAAAAAGTTCCGAGCTAAGTCTGAGTTACACAGCCTCGTTGGGCTTGCAGACTTTCGGACAATATGGGTGTTTGCATACTGGAAAAACTTACGCCATATTTGAGGTAATTGCATATTCTATCATTAAATAAATAAAATCCGTAGGAATCATAATATATGTCAATAAAATCGCCCAATTTTTAAAAAACATTCTAAGTAAATATAATTTAAATTGTTACAGTTAATTATAAAATACTTAAATTGTATGAAGTTTTCTAAATTTCGATTCCCCAGGGTTCAGTTCTGGGACCATTATTATTCACTCTCTACCTAAACGATTTTCTTAAAAATTTATATTTTTCAGTATGTGACATACTGGTAACTGATAAATTAGTTGCAGTCAATAATGTATTGTTGACAGGATAAAGCATTTTTTCCAAAAATCCGCCAACCTGAAATTTTAGTTCCATTGCATTAGTAATAGAATTGTAAAGAATTAAATTGGTAGAAGTGGTTTCTGTTGTGAAAAATGCAATATTTAATTCCCTTTACAGACATTGGCAAAGAGTGACATGATCAATTGCCAGCACAACTACAAGGATCTGATTTCTAACAACTACTCGATGAAATCCTCCTTGTGGCAACTATATGGCAAAACGGAAATGTCATCTTTGTGGAGCCAGCTGTTGCTCTACCAAAACATGGACTCTGTAAGCTCCAGTAAAGCTTTTTACGGTGAAGGTTTCTGCTTGGCCGTTTGTAACATCGCTAATCACTTACTGGTTGAAGGTGATTACGCTTTAGTTAATTGCGTCCTTAGTTTCGCGAAAAGACGGTAAGTACGCCTTAAAAAAATGAAAGTGGTGAGCTTTGAGGATGTTTTTTTTTTCTCCAGATTTCCAAACGAACCGCAAAGCCACGTGTGGATGCTGTGCGAAAACGTGTTCGTCTTCACCAGATCGTTGTACCATGAGAAATGGGGCGAAGCTGAAGCGGCCGCTCAGAAAATACTGGTTCTGGACAAATGGGAGGGTTATTTGAGATTGGCCGAGGTGTATTTCTATAAAAGGGATTACGTGGAAGCCGATAATTGCGTCGAAATTTTATTGAACCAGTACGAGAATGATAATGCTTATAAATTTAGCGATAGGTAAGTAATTTAACAGTGTGATTAGGTTAAAATCGTATTATCGACGAAGTGGAATTGACTGATATGTTTGACAATATTTCTGACTAATAGCAAGTGATATTTGACGAATGACACTTACTGACACATCATTTATGAAAAATTATCTTTACTATTGTGCGTTTTTATTTTATTTAAGATATTACTACGTTCGAGCGAAGATTCTGAAGATGGAAATTCAGTTCGCGATGTCCTATCCAGACAATATTCCTCCGGGAATTATAACGACTCTAAATAACTGCCTTTTTGAATCGCAAAGTTCTCAATTGGACTATCAAACTGCTTTGATTCATTTGCAATTGGCCAATTGCATGTTGCATATGGGATTGACTGGACAAGCGTTGGGCGTCTTGGATAAATGTCTAGTACAGGTGGGTTTATTAAAAACGTTTATCCCTACACAATTCGTGGGTTCATATTTTTAAGTCTTGATAAATTATTTTTTTGGCAGATTTTGGGACATGGAGGTTGTTATGACAGAGCTAGGGCAACGTTACTGTACGCTAAATGTTTGATAGCCGATTCTAGTAAGTTGGAAAACGAAGCCAGAGGAAAAGTTGTGATAAAATGCGCTCATATGTTAGAAAAAGTCAAGGAACAATTTAGGAGAGTTGAGGCCTTCTATAGAGTGAAAGACGTTCTATTTTTACAGGTAAATAAAGGTGGATTTACTTTGTATTTTTTATGGTTTCATCTAATTGTATATCTACTATAGACATTATTATTTATTTCTTCTTTGCCTTCTTACATCTTCAGCTCAGGTTTTTTGTTATTATACATAACCTGGAGCGAATAAAAAATGTACATTGAGAAGAAATGAATTCAACTTAATTCTGTTTTCATTCATTTATTATTTTCCTTGTCTATTATGATAGTAAATTTAAGGTTTGTTTTTTTTTTGTCAAATTTAGAGTCAGCTTTATAATTGGGTAAATATGAAGAGTGAGAGAAACAGATGTGCTTTGGAGTACCGTCTGTTGGATGAAGAATATACAACGAAAAATGTATATACGTTAGTTAAATATGTGTAATTTAATTAAGTTTATATATACGATTATTTATTATAGTTTTTGTATGAAATAAAGCCGTCTGCATGTTTTTTTTTTTAATAATTTTTATTCTTCTGATTTAATTATTAATTTTTTTTTTAATGTTATCATTGCCATCAAAGTTTGTAGTTGTCTATTGTAGGGAATACCGCCACTGCAAATAATAATAGCAGCCCCTTTCCCAGGCAGCTTTTAGAGTTACAATAATTATAGGGAGAGTTACCTTTATTATTTAATTTACATCAAATAATCTCCATCTGAAGTCATAACATAGGTCTGATAGAACACACATGGTTTTAACCGTAAATAAATACTGAATGCGCCTCTGTGCAAGCGCAAGCAAGCCCTTGTAACAAATTATTATTTATGACTCAAATACGAATCGTTACACAAATCTTTGCAACTATACTCAAGTAACGTCCGTCAGATGAAACTGCGTTGAATAAATTCATTGATCCTGTCCTAGACGGGACGTGACTTAACAAATTGCATCACTAACTGTACGAAGATCCTAAAAAAAAAAATATTTTTTTAAATAATTAATTTTTTATCATTCAGAGCTCGTTTCGTCAGGATTCAATAGAATGTTGTAGCGTGCAAACACATATTTTCTTAGATAAAGAACTATGTTGTAAGTAATTTTATGACACCCTAAATAAAGAATTTTGTAAACTTTAAAAATTCTTGTGTCGAGGACATTTCTTCTACAAGACACAGAACTTCTAAACTTCAGAGTTCGTCACGTAAAAACCGCGCGTACATTTTTTTGTCCTTTTTGGCGATGCTGCTACACATAATTTTTCATTGTCAATGACAGTGAAATGGCATTACAGTGCATTTTACTCCGTTTGAATTAAACCAATAATAATGGATATGCCTTCTTATCAATGCTCCTGTTGTCATCTTCTTCGAATCATCAACGTCAGTCCTTCATCTACTCTTTTTCGTATTTGGGTCTCCAGAGGCCTCTTCAATGTCTACTCCGGGGCTACGTTTATTAGAACTGACCACTGCATTGGCGATAGTATTCCTTCTTGTGGGCAGCCCCGAGTAACTTACCTATATAGTTGCCTGACCTAGAGTGCATAAAATGATCCTATTCTTTTGGCTGGCAGTGATCCATTGGCATATTGTGACTGGGGCGTTATTCGTTCTGGAGCCTTCGTTATTGACCTGGTTGAGTCATTATTGAAAGCTTCTTCGATATAAAAGAAAGTGGCTATGAGTGGATGAAATGATCCTATTCTCTTGGCTGGAAGTAATCCATTGGCATATTGTAGTAAGATTAACCGTATGGCTTAAGAAAGTTAAAACGCATTTGCGCCAAAAACAAATCGAGGTACCGTGAAATTGTTTTAACAACTGCCTATGCGATATAGTTCAGGATTTTTACCGCGAACGAAGCTTCAATTGATTTTCTATTATGTAATTGACTTACCATTGAAAGTATTAGTTTATCGTCGGGTACTATTTCAGATATTTTTTAGCGATTCTTGACACGTAGAAGCGTCGAGACGAAGAAGTCTCCGGGAAGCAAAAGTGTTGGATACAAGAAGCGTCGGATAGGAAAAGCGTCTGGTAAGAGAGGATAGGAAGAGTGTCGGGTAGGCGATGCGTAGGATAAGTGTGTCGGGCAGGGGATGCATAGGATAGGAGTGTAGGGTAGGGGTAGCATCGTATAAAAAAGCGTCTAGTAGGAGAAATGTTGAGTAGGAGTAGCGTCGATGGTTTGGAGATTTGTTTTGAATTTTGGTACTGGGACTGAATTTAACTTCTGACTGAATTGTACTAAATAAAGAGTTCTTTTTTAGTGGAATATTTTTTATTTGTCCTGATTACAATAAGTAACCTAGCTAATTCAAATCTAACTTAAACATTTCCGATCTTGGTTAAATTGAACTGTACTTATTTAAAGTATTTCCTGAGTCTGGACTTGTATTACCAAAATAGAATAACCAATTTTGCTACTCCCACCTTTATATATGTGGAGCAAGACCACTAAGTAGGTTTGTCTTATAGAGGCGCATAATTTAGTAGATCCTGATAGTCTGCTGGAAAAGGTAGGTCTTGGGCGTAGGAGAGAAGTTATATGTTAGGAAGGAGACATTTTTTCATAGATTTGCGGAGAAGAGCGCAAAAATCTTTGGAGGATGTCTTGGGCATGAGTATTTGAGCCTGATAGACGTTTTATTTCCTGGTATTTTTGAAACGAGTGAGAATGGAGTGCCGGAGTTGTTTTCGTAAACTTTTCAAGTAAAAACTACCCCGCATGGTAATAATGAGTTCTCTGGGTTTGGGAATTTAGCCTGAATTTTATCAAGGCAAACAATGTCGTTTGTTAATTTTTTATGACTACAACATATTGAAAAAGTTATTGCGTACTTTTTGTTAAACCCTATATGATATACATTATGTCAATATATCAGTGTTGAATATTATAATTGAATAATTATTTTTTAATAGAAAAGATAAACACCATCCATCATCATCGCCCTTATAAATATCCAATTACATATTCTAGAAAAAAGTATATTTCCTATTGTTAGAACAATTGAATAAAGCTGTTTACAATTATAACTATAATTGGCTTTTATCTTGCAATTGTGGCATCATTTTAAATGATGGCCATAAATTTAAAGTAGCAATTTTTAGCGATACTACTGGTCCGCGCAACGTATTATGCTGGTGTATAAAAAGGTTTTTATTTTGTTGCAAGATTAGTTCTAGAGTGAAATTTGTTGTGAAATATCAGTTTTTCTTCGGTAAAATTGGTAAGTTTTCCAGATGCAAGATGGTAAATAGCTCAATCAGTTAATATTTTGATATTGTACAATGAAAATATCAAAATATTTCTATGTCTATGTCCATTATATAAATGGGTTCATATAGCTCTGTCGCAAAACAATGTCGGACAAGTTAGCGTTGACTTGACAGCGCTACGATAAAAAAGTAGATAATTCAGCGCCGAATAAAATTGTGCCATGACAAAAAGTGCAGGACAAAATTATGCCAGGACAAAAAAAGCGCCGGTACAAAATGGCGATACTAAATAAAAATGTGATATAAATAAGGATATTCAAGCATAAAAATGTATATTAAATAATTAACAAACAGAACATCCTAACTTCCTTGAAATAATAATTTCATATTATAAACAGTAAATCACATTAACAACAACCAAAGAGAAAGATATACAAGGTGTCAATTTAACATTTGAAAGACATCTATATCAGATAAAAGAGTTTTAGCATTATTTAATTTTAATAATTACTGACAAATATCTGGGTGGCTCGTTGATGGCTCCAGGCCGTACAGGTTAGGTAAATTAGTTAAGTTTTTTTATTGTTCTCATTTTATGTATAGATTTTTTGCAAAGCAACAAGTTAGGTAAATTATTTGAGTTAGAATAAGGACTAGGAAAATATTTCTATTTTATTTAATATATTCTACATTAAAGTTCAACGATTTGAGTTCATGTGTGAGATTAGAGCATCCTGACTGTGATAATGCTATCAGGTACTTAGCCTTCTCAGTTTATATATTCCTATATGTTGCGCCGACCTTTTCTCTTCACGCCGTTTTGTCGGAGCTCTCTTTTGACAACGCTGTTTTAATTTTATATCGAATTGTAGTATTTTATAACTATTTCAGATTCATTTTAAAAGGAAAGTACTTGACATAAATATATATAAAAGTACTTTAAAAAAATCAACTGCTAAGAACACGCAACATAAATAATTTATACTGGGAGTTAACAGGTGTAAGTTTTTCTATGCCTTAAAAACATGAAGTTATGATTATGTTTTGATTTTGTTTAAATTCTGACAGACTCAGAGGCGGCTCGTGGCATAGTCTACGAGGAGGCTGGCACAGCCTTTACTCTTAATAAAAATATATATTTCTATTAGAATACAAAATATTTCTGTATTCTAATAGAAATATATAATTGTATTAAGTATATAGGGTGTGCCTTTTAAAAGTAGCCTCCGTAGCCTTTTCGTAGACTAGACCACAAGCCGCCTCTGTAACACTGCGCATGCTTGAATTTAAATTAAATTTTCTGTACCTAAAAGTAGGAGAAAGTTTTGGAACACAATTGTCTACCAATTTTAGTGAATTCTATTTTAAGAATACCATTTTTTCGAGGTCGTAGAAAATGTATCGATATTTTTCTCTTCCCAGTTTCAAGCTTAAATACTCTGACGTCTTTTCCAGTTTTAATTTTTGATTTTACTAATTGAATCCCTGTCTTGAATAAAGTTGTAACCAACAATATTTCAGAAACGGTGCTAAGCATGAAAAAAGGTTATAAGATAAGCAAAAATATAGTGCGATCCTTACTGAAATGTGTCTTAAAATCCATATTACTGAGGATCATTTGAGCCTACAAAAGTTGTCTCAGTCAGAACAATGTTTTAACTTTTTGGTTATGAGTAGGTAACTAATATCTTTGGAATCAAGGAAAAGAAATATGAGTCTTAAATCCGTTAAATTAGACGGGATACATATAGAATGGAAAAAAAATCAAATATCTAGGCCTAACCTTAGACAATAAACTTTTCTGCAACATATATGAAAAGGAAGTAGTAAAAAGGCTACAAAAAGCCTAATGGTACGCAGAAATATTACGGGTAAAAGATGGGGATGTAACCCGAACACATCGCGATAGATGTATACAACAATAGTGATACCAATCATCACTTAAGGAGGTGTAGCCTGAAGTAACAGAACTAATTTAGTTACTACGAGAGCTAATATATCAAAAGTACAAAGACTATCTGGAGGGGATTTTAAACTTTAGGTACCCCTCTTCAATTATTGATAGAGAACGTGAAAGGACAAGATATAGAATGATCGGGAACGGAGTAATTAGATTCAGGACCGAAGATACTTGGGATATGCTCCAGGACGAAATGAGAAAGAAGTACAGTTTACACAAAAACTTCAAAACCACAGAGCTGGGCTGCAAGAAAGAATGGATCCAAGAATCAATCGTGCTTGCAACAGTGAGGTACTAATGATTCCACAACCATAGAAGGACAAGAATAGGAGTGTAT